CCCAGAAGCACCAAGGCCTCAGGGAGAAGGTACACTTGGTGAGGACATGAGCCCTATGAGACACCAAACTGTTTATGCTTTGATCTTGAACATTCCAGCTCCAGCACTGAGAAAGGTTTCCGAACTTTGAGTCACCTGATTTTCAGTGTTTGCTACAGTAAGCAGCAGGTCTCAGCTTAGCTATCTAAAAACTGAAGTAGCAGTGCTAAATATGGAAAAGTTCACCTGGCTACAAGCAAGAGTGTGCTCTCTACAGCATTCTGTAACACTTGGAGAAGTCCCCTCCCTTCAGTTTTATCAGAGATGCCCTTGTCATTGAGCAATAATCATTTGTTTAAACAATGTATGGTAAACTATGGGTAAATCCTTAACGAGGACACTGTCATGAACTTCAGTGACGAATAATTTCATAGCCAACAGCAAATAAAACAAAACTGAGTCCTCTACCTCCAAACAAGTGTTGCAAATTAGAGCAAAGAGAAACTGCAGGGTCTAAGTGTTCCAAGGCCCTGCAAGTTACTGCAGCTGCCTCTGAAAGCCAGATGAATGACAGCACCCATAGGCATGCCAAACCGGATGGGAAAGAGCCTGTGAAGCCTCAGTCACACAGAGAACTACAGGCAGCTGGAGGCAGGAGAGATGGTCCTTCCCAGGAAAGAATATAACAATTGGTTGTTCACTGCCAAACAGCCTTGAAAACACACACACACACACACACACACACACACACACACACACACATGCACGCGCGCACACGCACATATCTGGGAATGGTGGCGCACACCTTTATTCCCAGCACTCAGGAAGCAGAGGCATCTGGGCTTCCATGAATTTGAGGCCAGCTTAGTCTGGAGTGAGTTCCAGGACTGCCAGAGTTATATGGTGACACACAGTCTCAAGAAAACCAATAGAAAAACAAAAGAGGAAAACAAGTAACATATGGAACATTAAATATAATGGGTTATATTTTGGGATATAATTGAATACTACATAAATACATATATGCATTCAATAACAATCAAAAGAAAGCCATGAAGTTGAAGGAGAACAAAGAGAGGGATGAGGGAGCCTTTGAAGGGAGGAAAGGGAAGAAAGAAACATTGTAACTAAATTACAATCTCAAAAATAAACAACAAACCAACCAAGCTGTCTGGGGAGCAGAGAAAGATGGAAAATCCATTAACCTCAGAAGAACAGGAAACCTGTCTCAATTTGTAACCTGAAGGGGAAATGCATACACCAAGCAAGGGTCTTCCCGAAACTGACAGTGGTTCATAACTCCATGGGCTCAGAGAGCCTAACTCTATGGCAGGAGTCATAGCCACAGAGAAGCCTCTTCCAGCGATAGTAGGGCAAGCAAAGAAGCCTGCTGAGGAAGCATGAACACAAAAGCTGCCTTTGGAGCTCTTTTTTTTTTCGAGATAGGGTTTCTCTGTGGCTTTGGAGGCTGTCCTGGAACTAGCTCTTGTAGACTAGGCTGGTCTCGAACTCACAGAGATCCGCCTACCTCTGCCTCCCGAGTGCTGGGATTAAAGGCGTGCGCCACCAATGCAATCAAGGCCATCAAAGGTCCTCGACAAGGACTTCTACTGTCTGGTCAGAAGGGAGTAAAGATGTCCCATTCTGGGGAAGGTGTTTACATATGGTGCACTTGTCAGTGTTTGCTCAAAATTCTCAGTCACCTGTTGACTTTGGGGTCTGTCTACAAGAGGTGTATCAGACTGATGTGCAATAGGATTGAATAAATCTATTAACAGCAGAATTACTGGGACTACCCACATGGTATCAGTACCCCAGAATGTCAAAGTAGCTAACCAAGAATTCAAAGGAGAAACATTAAGACCATGAGGTAAAAATAATATTTCAATATTTTCATACTATAAAACCTATGTGAGATGGGTGGTAGTGGCTCATACCTTTAATCCCAGCACTTGGGAGGTAGAGGCAAGTGGATCTTTGTGAGTTTGAGTCCAGCCTGGTCTATACAGGTAGTTCCAGGATAGCTGGGGCTACACAGAGAAACCCTGTCTTAAAAAACAAAATGCAATAAACCAAAACGATGTGAAGTGGACATTAACATTGTCTTGTCTAGGATTTCAGTACATCACTTCGAGATGGCCCACATCCTCCCATGTCTAGGGGTGAATGTCTTTCTGCACAGGTGTTTTAGGCTTCCTATTCAATCACCCCACCAGAAAAATCGGCCATGTGGTATAAGGTTCTGTGGAACTCATGTGGTGTAATGGTACAATTTTACAAAAAATTATCTCTTGGCCTCCAAAATATTAAACTTTGGCAGAGATTACAACCAAGTCAGTTATACACCATGAGATTGTTTAAGAACATTTACTTGGTGCAGGGATGGAGGGTGAGAGTATGGAGAGAGATGACTGGAATTAGGGGGCATTTGGGAGCCTTGAAGAAATCTAATACAGTATGAAAGTGATGTTAGTGATGTCTCATAGAAATGGGGATACAGAGTCCAAGCTGGCCATCTTCTATAACCAGGCAAGGCTCCTAGCAGTAAGACTGGGACATCAACCCAGCCACAAAACCTCTGATCTACAATATATCCTGCCTGCAAGATATGCTGGGGTAAAGATGGCAACCCAATGACTGGATTAACTTGAGGCACACACCACAAGAGGGATCCCACACTGATACACAAGGATGGCTAGGAACCACAGGGGTCAAGGACACTACAACAATATGACCCACAGAATCAACTATGCAGGATCATAGGGGCCCACAGAGCCTGAAGTGACAATCATGGCTCCTGTGTGGATCTGAGCTAGGTCCTCTGCATATACATTATGGTTGTGTAGTATTCTTGTGGGACTCCTAACAATGTGAGTGAGGAATATCTCTTGATATTTTGCCTGGACTTGGGACTCTTTTCCTGCTATTGGGTCGCCTTGACTAGTATTGATATGAGGGTTTGTGCCTGTGTAAGGATTCAGGCATTATGCTGACCTGCCCCTGTCATCTGGCAGAATGCACTCAGGCAGTATCCTGGTCAGCCCAGGCACAAAGGACCCCTTTAAAAGAAAGATGTCTACCCACTTATGTTCTCTTCTCTTTCCACTTGCTCTCTTTCTGCTCTCTCTTTCCTGCTGTTCCCCTGGGGCAGACAGGACTTTTCCTGTCTTCCTCTTCTGTCCTCTCTCTGTCTCTGTGTCTCTTTACCTCTTTTCTCTTTCCTTCCCCCTCCTTCCCCTTTCTAATAAAACTTCCCACTAACCTCTCTCTGTCTGGCATGTTTGTCCCTCTGCCAAGGTCCCCTCCTCCCCTCACACTTTACCATACCAGCCTGGTCTTACTGTAATTAGTTATAACATGTTTGGTTGACATCCCTGGGAGGCTTCCTTTTTTTTCTGAAGGGAAACAGAGGAGAAGTGGATCTCGGGGGAGGACTCAGAGGAATGGATGAAGGGGAAATTGCAGTTAGGATGTAAAAAGTATGTGAAGAAAAAATATATATATAAAAGAACATGTTCTTAACTTGATGTCCTACTGTGTTCTCAGCCTGTTAAAATTAACCTTCCTTTGAGAAGAACCATGTAGCAACTAACTTTACTATGCCTTGGATTGCCTATACAATCAGCTTTTCCAACCTAAGGTACTTCGTGGCTTTAATCTTAAATTATATACTCTTTCATGCCCCTGACCAAAACTAATGTATGTGTGTATGCTGTGTGTTGTGGCAATCATTTGCTGGAATCAGCCAGTGGTTGAAAGAAAACTGAAAACAAATATCTGCCATGAATACTGCAAACAGCATGGATGTAGCTCCACAACCAGGCTGAGTCAGGAAAGTTACCTCTCTCTGTGTAAAACTGCTGAAGATTTCTGTAACAAGTCCTTCACTCCCTTCCCATGACATGTTTTCTGTGCTGTTAAGTAAGCATAGAGAAAAGCCACTGCTGGAGACAGAACTAAAGATAGCAGTATTTCAGAGAGACACATCATAGACAAACCACACATTGGCCAACCACCATGATCTACAGACGCAAGGAAGACATATGGAAAGAAGTGGAAAATTCAGACTTTGACTCACTGTTTTTAATATAAAATAAGTAAAAGAAAATCTTATTTTACATACCAATCCCAGATCTCTCTTCTTTCCCTCCTCCCATGTCCCCCACCAACCCCCCATCCCACTTCCCATCCACTCCCCAGGGAGTGTGAGGCCTCTCATGGGGGATCATCAAAGTCTGTCTCATCATTTGGGGGAGGGCCTAGGCTGAGAGAGTATCCCTCTATGGGAAATGGGCTCCGGAAGTCCATGCACTAGGGATAAATACTGATTCTACTGCCAGAGGCCCCAAAGACTGCCCTGGCCTCCCAACTAACACCCATGTTCAGGGGGCCTGGTTGATTCTATGCTGGCTCCCCAGCTGTCAGACTCGGGCCTGTGAACTCCCATTTGCTCAGGTCAGCTGCTTCTGTGGGTTACCCTAGAATGGTCTTGATTCTTCTGCTCATCACTCCTCCCCCTCTGCAACTGGATTCTAGGAGTTCAGCTCAGTGTTTATGTATGGATCTCTGCTTCTGCTTCCATCAGCTACTGGGTGGCGTCTAGGTTGGCATATAAGGTAGCCATCAATCTAATTTTAGGGAAGGACACTTAAGGTAGCCTCTCCACTACTGCTTAGATTCTTAAATGGGGTCATCCTTGTGGATCCCTGGGCATTTCCCTAGTGCCAGATTCTCTTTAAACCTATAATGGTTCCCTCTATTAAGGTATCTCTTCTCTTGCTCTCCTCTCTTCTTTCACTCAATCTTCCCAACCCATGTTCAGGGGGCCTGGTTGATACTATGCTGGCTCCCCAGCTGTCAGACTCGGGCCTGTGAACTCCCATTTGCTCAGGTCAGCTGCTTCTGTGGGTTACCCTAGAATGGTCTTGATTCTTCTGCTCATCACTCCTCCCCCTCTGCAACTGGATTCTAGGAGTTCAGCTCAGTGTTTATGTATGGATCTCTGCTTCTGCTTCCATCAGCTACTGGGTGAAGGCTCTAGGATGGCATATAAGGTAGCCATCAATCTAATTTTAGGGAAGGACACTTAAGGTAGCCTCTCCACTACAAGGATGGCTCAGTGGTTAAGAACACTGCCTTCTCTCCCAGAGCACTCCTGTTTAACTCCCACTACCCTCTTAGTGGCTTACAATTGTCTGTAGTTGAAGATCCAGAAGATCTGACATCCTGGGCATTTCCCTAGTGCCAGATTCTCTTTAAACCTATAATGGTTCCCCCTATTAAGGTATCTCTTTTCTTGCTCTCCTCTCTTCTTGCACTCAATCTTCCTGATCCCTCATGTTCTCCCCCACCCCTTCCTCTGACCTCCCTGCTCCCCCTGTGCTCCCAATTTGCTCAGAAGATCTTGGCTCTTTCTCCTTCTCCAGGGGACCATGTATTTGACTCACTCTTGGTCAAATTAATCCAAGAGAAAATGCCATGTTGTCATTCCTTAATACATCACCATGGTTTGGTGTCTCAGGTTATTTTTAATGCACTCTCTGAACTGTGAGGATAGAAGGATGGCTCAGTGGTTAAGAACACTGCCTTCTCTCCCAGAGCACTCCTGTTTAACTCCCACTACCCTCTTAGTGGCTTACAATTGTCTGTAGTTGAAGATCCAGAAGATCTGACATTTTTTTCTGAACTCTATTGGCAGTCATACCTGCAGGCAAATACTCATTCACATAAAATAATAAAATGATTTTTAAAATATCATGTAAAATGTGATCTAACAGGGGTTAGTTAATATTAATGCAGGCAGAAAGCACACAGCTTTCTGTGTGTATGTGCAC